CATGCCCCATGCCCAGCAGAGCCACCTGTGGCTGGCCCTGCCACACAGCTGCACTCACTGTATCTGCAGAGCAGCCAGAGCTGGCCCTCAAGGGTCAGAGCTGCAGTGCGACCATTCTTCCCCAGCTGGTACATACTTTGGGGACACAGGGCTGGACCACCATAGGAACAGACGCAACCAGCTGGTATATTTCTAGGCAAAGAGCTATGGCCAGGATGTTTGCCCTTTTGCAAATCTCCCACCCACATTGGAGGGTCGTGTAAGGAGAATAGGGCCAGGGGGTCCCGAGAGCAAGCCCTTCTCTGATTTGGGCACAATTCACCTCTGAGGCATCCAACTCCCCATTTCTCCCCTTTCTCTGGCAATGACGTAACCCTTTCTCCCCAACTCCTCAAGGTCAGCCCCAGGAAGGGAGAAGAATGACAGAAAGGTGAGATAATCAACATTTTACTCTGAAATATATATATTTTTTTTTTCTTTAAAGCAAAATGTTTTCCAATTTCACTCACAATTGCTAATAAAGAGGGACAGAGTGCTAGCTGAAGGAGAAGAGAAAAATGGCGTCTGTAGTCAAGGCAGCCAGAGCCCCGGAGAACCGGGGCTGGAGCTGCTCTCAAGGCCAAGGGCAATCGGCTCCTTCAGGCTGCAGCCTCCAGGGCCATGCTGCCCAAGAGAGCTGGCCCGGGAGAGGAGGCTGTCCCCAGAGCTCAGTCCAGAGCTCTGGCAAGGGGCAGGGAAAACCCTCAGCCTCACCCACCTTGTCCCTTCTCCCCCTTCAGTCTGCATCCGCCCACCCATCATCCATGAGCTCACCCGCCCACGGACTTGCTTGGTGGACGTGGGGATCTCATTTGAGGCTTCCTGCTGGAGACAACAGCAGTCTCTCCCCCTCTACCTTCTTCTCAACTGCTTTGAAGACTTCATTCTCCTGTCCCTCCGCTACACACCCCTGCGTTCTGCCCGTCTCCCCTGATGGCCAGCACACCTCTCCAGAGCCACTCTTACATACACATCCAACACTTAACAGCCACACGGCACAAAAAGACAGGCAGCCTACTGCCCGAACCACACAGCGGGTTGGCAAAACCGTGGAGTCCGATTGGAGGCACACCACTGTTTAATAACACACAGATCCCCTTCCAGCCCCCACCCGAAAGGCAGCAGGAAGGCCAACCAAAAATGCCAAGACCCGGCATCATCCGTAGAGCAGAGAGCTGGGTAGGACAAAGACATCACTCCATCCTCCCAAAGAACCACGACGAGTTGCTGGGTGATTCTGCAGTGCCCTCTGTTTTGACACAGCCCACTGATCAGGGCTGCGTGTGGTGGGGGTGTGAGAGCGAGTACCCATGTGCATGGGGAGGGGGCTGTGTCTACTCTCCAGGCATCAAACCTCCCCAGAGGTAACCCAGTCCCGATGCTGCCTTCCCCTGTAACCTTCCTCCAATGTGCCGCAAACATAGATTTCATGGATGGTTAAATTGGATCATTATCACCGGGTGCTTATTTGGCCAAATAAAAAAAAAAATCATTAATGTCATCTACCCCCATTCCAATCCCCTCCTCATGAGGCCCCCTCCCCCAAAGACTCTCTAACATGCTAATCCTATGAAACTGCGACACACCACAGCTTTCGGGAAAGAATAATGGCGAGAGGAAAGAAGAGAGCGGTTGCAGGAGAAGATGAAGCCCTAACATTACAGCATTCCCCCCTGTGAAGGAGGGGGAAAGGCATCATGGTGGACGTAGAGGTGGGGAAAGAGGTAAAGGGGAACAAAACCAAACAAAATCAAGCCCTTGGTCGGCCGCGTATGTAAGAGTGTGTGTGTGCAAGCGCGTGTGCCAGTGCGTGTGTGGATGTGCCGACTTAGCCCTCCTATCAGAAGGCTGCATCCGTGTGGCATGTAGGAAAGGCCATCGCACCACTGTTGTGTTGCAAAAAAAAAAAAAAAAAAGAGCCGCAGAGCCATCAGAATCAGAATTTTTCTCATGGAGACAGAAAGGGCTGGAGAAAAGGGGGAGGGGGTGTATAGGATGGGGGGACAGTGTGTGGAGATAGGAGGCAAGATCATGGCAGAATTGGGGGAGGATGGAGGATGGAGGGGGAAATCGGTGGTGCGGTGAAAAAAATTGCACACACACAGAGACACAAATACACACAATACCCAAACACCAACCCCACTGCTGCACTGTTCATCCAAGACTGACAACCCGTCCCCCATCTCTCCGCTGCCTCTTGTGCCCCCAAAGCTGATGCCGATGGATTTCTGTATCTCACTTTTGCAGCAGTGGGCTAATTACAACCAAGCCCCCTCACCAAATTACCTCCTCCCTTCCCTCTCCTTTTTTTCCCCTCTAAAAGGCCAATTGAGGAATAATGTGTTTTTAGAGATAATGGATTTCTTTCTTTTTTTTTTTTTCCCAAGAAGCGAGAGAAACAGGGGATGCAGGACAGAAATTCTGCAAACCGGCGACTTCCGACCTCACCTCCATGTCCCCCCAGGTTCCCATTCGCTGGAGCATCTCATCTACCGTTCTCCGACCATTCCCTTGTCCCCCACCACCCAAAAGAAAAGACCTTCCTACCATGCACATCGACAAACACACCAACCGCCACCCAATCTCAGTAGCCGATCTCAAAACCCCAAGCATCAATCCACCTCGATACATCCTTTCCCTTATATAAGCAGCAAATCATCAACATAGTCAGTAGAAACGCAGCATTAAAAAGAAATCAACAGAAACGGAGGCCAGACCCCCATCAAACCCCCAATAATTAATAATAGGGAGCTACCAGAGAAGCAAAGACGTAGTTGTCTCTCAAAATCTAGAATCCCTTTGATTTCTGGCTTCCCCTTCTTAAGAAGCAATTTTCTTAAATTATAATTTCACTAGAAAGGGCTGGAAAGCTCCAGAAAAGGGCATTCGCACAGTCCGGTTGTTTAAAAGAAAAAAAATTAACCCAGCCCTGTTGCTCACTTTAATAGCGAACTTCCAGCGTCCAGCTTTCCCCCTCTTCCAGCAGGAAGACTGGCTCGCAGGTTGAGCCCAGGGCTGCAGAAAATGGGCCAAGAGCCCTTACTACACTCCCCATCAACAACAAAAAGAACAAACAATAGGAATATCTCTGCACGACTAGCACCCATCTGAAATATCGTTCACCCCGATAGGACTTAGGCAGATTAAGTCTGAAGATTAAAAAAAAAAAATACCAGCTTTGCCTCGTCTCTCTCCCCACCATCCTTCCGACACGTACCCAGTAGCCCTTAGGTAAACTTGCCCATCATAACCAGCGGGACCATTGTAACTTGAAAGGCGGTGCAGAAGCCCTTGAACGAGGAAGGGAGGCTCTATCCAGAAGAGCAAATTGAGAAAGGCCAGTTCTTCAGGCTCCCCAGACTAACCTCCAGGTGCCCCCAGATAGACTATCCCAGGAACCAAGTCACCCAGCGCGCTGGGAGTTCAAATTTCCATTGGAGCCTTCATCACAAAGGCAAATGGTCATCTGACCCCCGAAACTACACCGTCCTCCAGGTGTGAGAAGGAGTGCCCCTAGCCCTCCCAGAGCCATCCTCAGGACCCAGGTCAGAGAAAGAATTCAGAATGTTGGGGTGGCTTTTGGTGGCAAAAGAAACACTATCTCCCCAAAGCGGGAATTAACCGGAGGAAGCGGGGAGAAGACAGCTCCTGCTCTACCAGCTATCTTATTTGATCCGAGTGGTTAGCTCTCAATGATCTCTGACCTTTGCATTTAAAAAATAAATAAAAATAAAGATCAGGGAAGAGGAAACCTACTTTACTAAACCCAAATAATGGTTGGCAAAAGAATACATAATTTTCTTCATTGCATGATGATATTTCTGCATCCAAATCAAAAGAGGTAGGCATTTAATGGAGGAAGGGAGAAATTTATTTTATTTTTTTTAACAAGTAATCACAGGGCAAGTCACCTGCAAAGCAGCCGAGCCCATAGGTTGGTATTACATCACTGGCCTGGGAAGGGAGGGGGCTGGGGGACAAATTTTTTTTTTTCCCTTGTCATCAGGATGATGTTTCTAAAGCAGTTAAGTTTTGTGGTTAAAAAAGAAAGAGGGAAAGAGCCGAAACTCTGGGAACAGCACAAAGCCTTGAAATAACAATACATCGAACCAGTCTTTAAGGTCACTGAGAGCTTGCAAAACCCACAGTGCTTACACATAGTGGAAGTTTTCAGGCAAGGCTGCTACTAAATCATTAATATAAACAAATGGAAGGCAGAGGAGGAAGATTCCCTTGTAAGTGATCCAAACAGGAGCGCACACCACTCACACACTTCCTTTTCACCTTCCCCAAGTGTGCCCACTGTCACAACAAGATAGCAGGAGTCCAACCTGAATTCTCAGACTCAAGAACAACCTCCTCACACACCCTCCCCCCCCCAAAAAAAAAAAAATCAAACCCAACACATACTCAACATACATACCTCCATTCCTCAACAGCTGGGAAATCCCTGTCTCAATTTTATTTTGTCTTCTGGTGATCCCAGAGTGTCCCTTCTCTTTCTCATTTTGACTAGCCCCTTCCCCAGGAAGGGGAGAGGGAAGAGGGGGTGGGGAGCAAGTGGCTTGGAAATGTCAAAAAAGTATCTACCCAAAATGAAGTGACCAGCACACATCATTTTAAGACCGACAATCTGAGCAAATATTTGGAGAATGACTCGAAAAAGAAAAAAAGAAAGACGAAGCTATTAAATCTCAAACATTCTCTGACTTTTCCAACATCTGAAGCAAAAGGACCCAACTTCCAGGAGAAACTGATGGAAAAGAAAAGGAGTCGAAAAGCGATTCTCGTGGTCAGCCTCTCGAATCCAGCATTCAAAAAAAAAAAAAAAAATCTAGGTTGGTCGCTCCCAGCTGAAAACTTCTACCCTCTCAGGAGCAAGAGCAACCTCTTCCCAGAACAGACAGAACCCGGAGTTGTTTCTCATCCTGCCTGCCTGTCTTTCCCCCCCAAAATCTTACCTTTCCAGTTGCACAGAAGAGTTGGGATCTGTCTGTTTGTTTGATGTTTAATCAACTGAGTTTTCTGGGTGTTTCCTCTTTGGGAAGGTTCAAATTCCAGAATCTTTCTCCTTTTCTTTTTTTCTCTCTCTTTCTCTGGGAGGGAGTGGCGGGGAAGAAGGGAGGGGGTATTGGAGGTGCGAAAAGCAGGTCCCTGGTGGCTCCAGATGCCAGCGGCTGCGAGAGGGGAGGACACGCTGTCTCTCCCTCTCAGTGAGTTGCATGCAAGAGGCGATGTGTAGGGCTGAGCTCTGAGCCTGAGACTGCCGGAGGAGCCCAGGAATTTCACGCACTCCAGAGCTGGCCCCTCCCTCTCCCACACAGACCCCGGCATTTAAAGAGACAGCCAGGCTGCCTGGCTCAGGGCTTCATCTCTTTCCCTGGCTGTTTTGCAAACAGCTGAGAAGATATCATCAAGGAGGGGCCCTCTGCAGCCCCTAATGACTAAGAGGTGGTATGTGAGCTCACTTCTCCCCTCACCCCAGCCTGAGAGGAGAGTTCTCCTCCAGAACTGGAGCAGGAATTCAAATGAAGACAAAATCCTCATTTACAGCTTCCAGCAGACTAAACCAATTCCCCAGCGTTAATAAGGATGCACGTGTATCACCGCAGACAGATGGGATGGAGAGGACTCTAACCTACAAATGTGCCTCAGTTTCCCTGAGTAGTCACTCCTGTTTGCAAAATCAGGGCAATTCTTGAAGATCTGGTGGAAGTCAAGGCTATAACTAGGACACAAATTCATTCCTTCAACAAGCACTTTGAATGCTAGTTCAGAATGAGGCACAGGAAAAGAGACTAGAGACACAGAAGTGAAAGTGACAAATGAGTCTTTCCCTCCAAGGGTCCCTAGCAGCAAAGACAAACCTAGGGCTAGCCAACCTTATCCTAAAGGAGCTACAAGCTAAGAGAGACAGGCAAAGATCGAGTGCTTTGGTGACTCCCTCTGGTTTGCACCAAGAGCTTAGAGCCTAAGTATTTCCACTGTACTCTCAAATCCATCACCAGCCTTGATGAGCTAGTCTGTATTTGCAGCAGTATTTTCCCAGTCAAGCCTAAATAAGGGTTGACAGTCGGTGGCATCAAAGGCAAAGGTTTTGTTCAGTATCAGACAGTGGTTCAGGATCAGTCCCAACTCACTTTCTTCTCCTGCCTCCCATTTCTAAAAGCCACACTGGTATGTCCTTCCTGCAGCCAGCACCAATGGCAAGAATAGGTGCTGAAAGTTGTTGAGCCCTTAACATAGGCCAGTGCATGGGTCATCTAGTTTGGTCCACTGAGGCTGGAGCTAGTTGAGGTCCATTTTACAGCTGAGTAAATTGAAGTTAAGCTTCACAGAGGTTCCCTGAGGTCACAGAGCTGGAAATTGCTAAGAATGAAACTGAACTCGGGTCATCCCAACTCCAGAGCCTGCTAGCTTAGCCACAGTTCTACTTTGCCTCCCATTCAGGATAGTAGCTCTTGCATTTCTGCTCTTCACTGGACATTCTCCCAGCATCCTAGCACTTCTCCAGCCCAGCAAACTTTAAACGTACAGACATAATGTTCACAGGACACCCCATGAGTCTACTCAAGTTCCAGCCCCAAGGAGTCCACAATGGAGAAGCAAGGACATATTACAGTCAAGAAAGCAACGCAAAGGAAGTTCTCTGGGATTGTCAATTAGCAAGTGACTATTTTGGTCTAGAGATGGGTATCTCAAGGCAAGCTTGTTGGACTAGTGGCAATTTGGTCTGGTCCTAGATGGACCAGTGGCAATTTGGTCTGGTCAAGCAATTCTAGTATTACTAGTCCACTTTTCAGTCTATTTTACCTTTCAGGTCATAATCTCATTTTCTTGTGTCTGCTTTCCGCGCCCCCCCCCCCAATCTTCAGTGTTCCCAGCACATACAGGAACACCAACAAATATGCTTTAATGGATTAATTCCATATCTAGCATCTGCTCTCCCGCCTGTTTGCTCTAGACCTGAACTGCCCTGGCCCTACATCTTTCCTAGGCCTTCCTTGAAGCCTGTGCACCCTGTTTGTTCTCAAGAGTGGAAGGAAATTCCGAAGGCACAGTGAAAACAACCAGGGCAGCTCTATAGTCACCTTTGGGAGCATCAGGAAGAGACCTGAGGGACTTATGGGTTTGAGGGCATGAGCCCAAAGTGAGGCTCAGCACTGAGAACCCTGCAGGTGCCAGCCCCATGGGCGGTCTCTGGCAAACACTAGCCTAGCAGGGATAGCACAGCAAGAAGACCACTGAATGTCTAGAGGACAGCCTCGAGGTTGAGACATACCTGGGTTCCAGTCCCAGCTGAGCCACCTAAATGCCATGCGATTTAGATAATGTTCTTCTTCCTCTCTGAGTTTCAACATCATCATCTATAAAATGGAGATAACACCTGTTCTGACTTCCTAGGACTGCTGCGAGAATCCAGTAAGATACACACACAAGAACGCCTACCCAAAGAAGTCCTTCACAAATATTCCCTACCTCAGCCCAAAGGTCTGCCTTTGCCCCTGCACAGGATTATTAACTTTGGACTGCCCCCTATAGTTGGCATTCCTTTATTTCATCATGTCACTGTTAATGCTTTAGCTCATCAGGGCGTGACTATAGCTACCATCACATACTTTTTTAGCTCCTTTGCTCTCCGGCCTACTTTACTGTGTATGTTTTGAATATACTTGTTATTACCATTTTGTTCCATTTAGTCGTTTCTTAGGCTTTCTAAGTGTTTTCTATCTTTCAATAACTCCAGTGTATCTTTTGAGTCTGCCTTTCATCATGAAATCTCTGGGCTCAATTTACCCCATTCCTCCATATCATTTTAGCTAACTACTACCACTCTGCTCATTCTGGAGATCCGGCATTCCCCTGGATCGCTACAGATTTGTGAGGATGGATATGTACAAAATAGCAGAGAAAGAAAACATCAAAGAGAATTAAGTCGGGTCTCCTTGCAAACATGTAATGTAGCCACAAGCAAAAAAAAAAAAAAAAAAAAAAAACATTATCAGGAGTTCACCCAAATGAAGGGACCATGTCAGCAATGATGCTTACATTATTAAGGGAAGACTCAGGAGGCACAATGGAAGCCCTCAAGATCCCAGGCTTTCATCACTGACCTGGGTTGAGAAGGGCCTTAACCAGAGGTCATTTAAGTAGCAGGTTCTCTTGTGAGCCCGATCTGCCCTCAGCCCTTGGTTGAGTGGCTGAGATCTGTACCCAATTCACAGGGAGAGCAAAACAGGCTGAGGTCTGTTCCAGACTTCTCAAATATGCCAGACCAGTACATTCAGCAAAGCAGAAAAACAAAATACCAATCCAAAGGATAAGCTGTCCATGACATTCAGGAAAAAATGTTATTATGAGTAAAAACAATAAGAAGAATGATCTGCTACAAGTTGCCCCTGCAAGCCCTTGACTTAGCAGTATCATGGTTGAGATCCCAAGACTCAGTAAATCTCAAGCTCCACCATTTGTTGGCTTTGAAACCTAGGCCAAGTTACTAACATCCCAAGCCTCAGTTCTCTCATCCATAACATGGGAATGATCACAGTACTATCCCCAAACATTGCCTGTGAGAATTATATCAAAAGCACCTATTATTGCAAATGGCACATGCAAAGTCTACAATAAAAAAGAGTTTCAGTTGTTCTTATCAGGGTGGAATTTAAAATATTTAATATCTCAGCTGGTCCAGGCACCAATCAATCAGACTGGAAATGGGCCGTAAGTAAGCCGCTTGTCCTTACCAGGGTATTACTAGCTATTAGGCCTGGTCATTAGCACTATTACCTCCTGCCAGGTAGACTAGTACGTGGCTTGACGCTAATGCAGTATCTCATGTACTACTCACAGCAAGTTGGTTTATTGTTTTTTATTGAAAGATATGCAACTGTACATTTATTAAAAAGACTATGCCTATAAAGTCAGGGTCTATAAATAAATAGATTGGACATATCCATTCCTGCCACCCCTAATGACTCTTGGTATACAAACAGGGACTGCTTTTGCTCAGAGGTTTTTAGCTTTGTTTTCATAGGTCCTTCATTTACTTCTTCACTTTTCAATCATCTTTGGAAAATGATGATAATAGTCAACGGCCTCAGTTTCTTCATCTATTAAATGGGTTTTTCTTTCAGAGTTCCCACCACTCTATCAACCAACCCTGGAAATATGAAAAGACTCTCAAGCCAGGACCAAGTTGCTGGAATAGGACATGAGACATTTCTGCTATTTCCCCAGCCAGGACTTCAGTTGGGTCAAATTCTCCAGTCTTCATCCTGCCCCCAGTGTGTTCTTCTCTAAGTCACTAAGTCCCCACCTTCCTTTTTCCCAAATAGATTGCAAAACCAGCCTCCAAGGCTGTGGGCCCAGAGCATTTTGTCCAAGTTCCCTTGCAAATATTCCCTCAGCTCCTCTCTCCTCTTGTCTCTGAAGTGCTGTGCTCACTACGTGGTCAGCCTGCTGGAGTTTGTTTGGTTTTCTAGCTCCTATGCAATGATAATTCTGGTGTTATTAATAAATGATTGCTTATTAATTAGTGTTATTAGACACATGCTGTGCATTGTGGACAGTGCTACAGAGGGGCCTGGATTCTTGAAGGAGGGGACCTGTACTAAAAGAGTTGGCCCCAGGTCCCGAAAAACAGGACACGAGGCCAGCAGTGAGTCATGGGTAGACAAGAGCTGTGCTTCTGAACTCCTGAAAGGCAAGTGTCCAATCTGGACAACCATGTCTGGCACAGGAAGGAAGGAGGACAAGCGAACGTGGGATTTGCCTGTGTGAGGACACAAGCCCACAGGGAGCCTGGGCATTCAGGCCTTGAGCAGGTCAGCTCCCAACTGTTTCCAACTCTGAGCATCCTGCTTATTCCATGGAAATAAAATGGTCTCAAGGGCTTGCAGCCAGTAGCAACCTCTCAGCTCTCTCCCTGAATTCAGCAGGAGTTTGGCAGCTCAGAGGAATCAGCACTCAGTAAAGGACTCCAGCCCTGGGGAGGTCCGGGGAGGAAGTGAGCTGCCTGCCCAGAGGCTGCATCCTTCTCCCCCAAGCACCCAGGAGCAAGCAACTCGTCCAGACTGATGGTGACAGAATATCACACACACACACACACACACACACACACACACAAAACAGTTGACAAGAAACTGAGGAGAAAACTGTTTCCTCCCACTCCAATAATTTTCAGAGTAATTCTAGAATTTCCTGCTTGGGGATCAGATTTTAACATGGTCCAGGTCTATTTGGAGTGTTTAATGGGTTTGAATGTTTGAGAG